TCTCTCTCTCTCTCTCTCTCTCTCTCTCTCTCTCTCTCTCTCTCTCTCTCTCTCTCTCTCTCTTTCTCTCTCTCTCTCTCTTTCTCTCTCTTTCTCTCTCTTTCTCTCTCTCTTTCTCTCTCTCGCTCTCTCTCGACCCGGCCGAAACTTGCCAATGCTAATCGCACATTCCGTGTTACAGCGTAATGCGCATTCAATTCCCCTCAGAGAATTCACTATTAGTATTAGTATTACGTGCGTGCACTATACACGCGCATGATTCACACAATGTATACACGCCCCTTGTCGGTGCTAGCTCCCTGTGGTGTTAACGTTATCCAGTATGTAGTCTCGCACTGGTAGTGAGATATAGATATTGCACTGCTCGTGGTGCCTATATCTCTAGTCTCGTTCTCACTCGCATGGTCCGCCCTAGCGCAGACTTGCGACTTATAATTGGTTGCTCGTCGCTGCAAGCTGCAACCGCAAGCGATCGGTCGATGTGTCGCCGCGTGTGCGCACACATGCGATTTCGAAGCAATTCTAGAACAATTTGGGAGCGATTGGGCGCGACGAGTCGCTCAAAATCAAAACAGTTTGATTTCTTGTAACTCGTTGCAAGCGACCAGAATCGCTACGAGTTGCAGTTGCACGTTCCCGCAGACGTAGCAATTTCACAGCAATTTCGACTGCGATTCTAGAGTTGCATGAAAAAGTCGCAAGTCTGCGCTAAGCTTTAGCTCTAGTATTACAGGCTGGGAGGAAGGGCTATATAGTTCTAGAGCTAGGTCCGCATGCACTTGGCCGTTTTAATGATAATCCCATGGTGAATAACCACACATTTTATTTACTACCAAGGTCACGTGTACTGTCGTACACGTAACGTAACCATAACGTAATAATTCTACGTGAATGGTGTTCAATCACTTCTCGTAACATTCGTGTAACACGCAATGTCACTGAACGCACAGCACTACGCACAAACTCACAGAAAATAGAGAAACTCTTTTGAGAACTCTTTTTGTTTATTTACCATTATAGTCTAGTCAATATATGAAAATATTATGTTATTATTGCAATAGCCGAAGTCCACAGTGGCGTGTGGTCTCTATACGTTTGCGTACTTACATGTCTCTTTCGCTCTGGAGCTCTCTCGCTCTCTCTTTCTCTCTTTCTCTCTCTCTCTCTCTCTCTCGCTCGCTCTCTGCTCGCTTCCTCGCTCGCTGCTATCCCTTGGTTACACACGCTTTCAAACGCTCTATATAGCCGACTATTTCCGGATCAGGTAAACAAATTATGACGAGATATCAAAATATAAGGGCATCTGAGTAATGCAGCTAACACGTGCTACGTACGTCGGAGTGTTACTCTTATTTCGCCAGCGTGAGACCACACGCGCCGTGACGCACGCGTGAATGCCTGTGAAATGTACATATACTACACACGTCACGGCTAACGGCCATGTAAGGGCAATCGGAAGAAGATATAAACGTACGCACGCGGCTACTTCCCTTCCGATCCTATTTCAATACAGAACAGGAACTAACAACCCATACGATTTGCCAACGACGTGCTGAATCATGCCTTGGTACAGGACGCGCGTCTGTCTTGATGCGTGACGAAAAGGCAACCCGTAAATCAGGCGTGTATCACGTCGCTCACCTTCACAGCAAACATCCAACAATTTGCTGAAGACGTTAGAGAGAGTGCTGGCGTACACACAATGGGACTGACCAGCGTCAACCCAGCCTATATTCCAGCACTATATACGAACCTGTTCTCAACTGCGCAGTAGATACGATCAACAGCTAACAAATACCTCTTGTGTGTACCTCTGGTGTTTATTAGCTCTTGATACGATGTGTAGCTATCATATTCATATACGTACCATCCGCTGCTGCTGTCGAAGGCCACCCTGTAACATCACGTTAGAGTCCGATGACATCACGGCAACCAGCCACCGGAGCTCTTTGCAAACTCGTTTCTCGGTGAACAGGCGCAGAGGTGTCCGTCAGCGAGTGCACGGTCGGTCCACGTAGCGTCGTGTACGGCAACCGGGTTTAGGTGATGAAGTGCGCGTGAGTGGACGAGCGGACCGTAGCGGCGTAGGCACGCGCGCGCGCGATCTCTCTCCACGCGTCTGCGTGCGTTCGGTCACTTCGATCTACGCGCTTAGAGAAACGCACGCTCGCTCCCACCGCCGCGGCCGCAAGGCAGTATAGCAGCAGCACCAGCGCATTGTCGTCGTCCGCAGCGGCAGCAGCGACGGCTCCACGCGCGGAATTCGCTATATTTAGCCGTCACAGCCACATGTTCCTGGCAATCATCATCTGTTTGCCATTTGTACGGGCTGCCGTGAGTGAGGGTTGAGTGACTGACTGGCTGCTGGTAAGCTTCGGTACCCGGTAGATGCTGGCAGCAGAGCGAGCTACCGGAAACCGGGCTCTCTCTCTCTCTCTCTCTCTCTCTCTCTCTCTCTCTCTCTCTTCCATTATAGTTTGGTAGTCTTATGTCTCTCTCTCTCTCTTTTTTTCTCTCCTCTCCTCGCGGGTCTTCTCTCGCCCGCCCCCCTCTCGCTCTCGCTCATCTCGCTCTCGCCCCTCGATCCTTTTCTCTCTCTCTCTCTCTCGCTTGCGCGCGTCTATCCTCTCTCTCTCTCGCGCCGTCTTCTCTGTCCTCTGTCTGTCCCTCCTTAATCTCTCGTCTCTCCTCTCTCTCTCTGTCATCATTTCGTCGTCTCTCTCCTCTCTTTCGCTGTCTCCCTCTTCTCTTTCTGTGTCTGTCGCCCCTCCCCTCTCTCTCCTTCTCTCCTGCCGTCTCTCTCTCTGTATGTCTTGCTCTCCTTCTCCTTCTCTGCTCCTCTCGCCCGTTCGATCCTCTCTCGTTCTCCAGCTCATCTCTCTGGTATATGTCTTCTCTCCTCTCGCCTCCTCTCTCTTTTCTCTCCTCTCTCCTCTTCCTCGTCCTCTCAATCTCTCTCATTTCCCCTTATACTCGTCTCTTCGTCTCCTCTCTCTCTCTCGCGGCTCTCTCTACGCGCAGATAGTCTCTCGTGTCCTCTTTCTGCGTTGTCTGTCCTGGTGTCTCTACTCTCTCGTCTCTCGTTCTCTCTCCTGGCTCCTTCTCTCTCTCTCTCTCTTTTCTTCTCTACCTCTGTATGTTCTCTACTGCTTTCTGTCTCTTTTCTGTCTCGCTGTTACGTCTCTCTCGTCTCTCTCCTCCTGTCCGTCGATCGCTCATCTCTCCTCCTCGCTCTCTCTCTTTCTCTCTCCTCTCTCTCTCTCTCTCTCCTCTCTCTCTCTCTCTCTCGCTCGGCTCTCTCTTCTCTCTTCTCTCATCTCTCTCGTCACTCCATCGCTCTCGCTTCTTCCGCTCTCGCTTCTCTCTCTCTTTCCTCTTTTCTCTCTCTCACTCTTCTCTCCTCGCTCTCGCGCGCTCCTCGTCTCTCTCTCCCCCTCCCTGCCTTCTCTCTCCTCTCCTTTCATCTCTTTTCGGTCTCGCCGCTCTCTCTGATCTCCTCGTCTGGTCCCTCCCTGTATCTTCTCATCCGTCCGGAATCCTCCTCATCACCTCATTGTCTCTCTCTACGCCTCCTTCTCCCGCTCTCCTCTCTCTTGCTGTGTCTGTCTGTCTCTCTTTCCCGCTCTGCTGCCGTCNCTCTCTCTCTCTCTCTCTCTCTCTCTCTCTCTCTCTCTCTCTCTCTCTCTCTTGCTTCTCTTCTCTCTCTCTCTCTCTCTCTCTGCCTCCTACCGCTTTCGTTCTCTCTCCCCCGCGCGCTCTCTCTCTCTCGCTCTCTCTCTCTCTCTCTCGCTCGCTCTCTTTCTATATCTCTCTTTCGCTGTCCCTTTCTTTTCCTCTTCCTCTCCCTCCCTTCCCTCCTTTATTTATTTTTTCCCTGCTTCCTTTTCACTTTCTCTCGATCCCTCTAACTCTTCCTCGCCCTCGTTCTCTATCCATCAATCTTCACATTCGTTATGCAATTCCTTGGAGCAGCGAGAATGGACCTTCGAATACATCCGAGTACGTAATAACGCACAAAGCACGGCGTAACCGCGTATGTACCAATCAATACCCTCTAGCCGACGAATTCCATCTATGACGTAGATTAATTATATTGTACCCCGTCACGGCTGGATTACCCACATCAAACGTTGCTCTGCGGACCTTGTTTAGATGGATCGTATGCACCACACGTGCGACGCAGGACGTCTGCAGCTGCGTTTATCCTCAGATGCCCGCGCCTAACCTCGAGTCTGGACATCCGTTGCAGCCGGTGACCCCTGTCGTATATGTTTCTCTATATCGCGCTGTTGTGGTAACACATATACGCCGTATGAAGTTACAAGAGCATAATAATAATTTACTTTAGCGTTTAGCATTACTAAGCATGCAGCAAGCTATTTTTACCGCCGCGCCTGCTCTCTGGATATATATGTATATATATATATATATATATATATATATATATATTATATATATATATAT